AAAAAAAAAAAAAAATTAAATTAAAGAAAGAAAGAATATGCATGGGAAACAGAAAGATGTCAGGTTTACAGATAGGTTAAAGGTCGTCTATGTTGGATTAAGGACACTGAACTTTTTCATAAGAAAAAACGTTACTGAGAAGATTTTACACAGACAAAAAAGTTTTTAATTTTAGAAAATCAACTACGCAACAATAAGGAACATAAACTGAAAAGGACTCTGAAAGAAAGGAGGCCAGGAAGGACATTATTTAGGTAATAAAGGCATAACAGATGATTAAGTAAGTAAAATAAGAAGCCCAGTGCTAAGGTAGTGAGATAGGAAAGAGGAGACAAAGACATTTAAGAAGAGGGGTGGAGATGGCAATAAAGGATAGACTAGAGGCTGGGGATGTAACTCAGTGGCACAGTGCCTGCCTGGCAAGCGTGAGGCCCTAGTTTGAATCCTGATACCATAATAAATAAATAAATACATACATACATACATACATAAAGAAATAACTAATTGGATGAGAAAAGAAACAACAGCATCTAGGGTCTGGCTTGGTGACTGCAGAGCAAAAAATGCTACTCTAAGAGCAGACAAGTATCAATTTGGACATCTTGAACTTGCACTAGTTATGGGACATCGAAGCTGAGATTTCATAGTGGGGACAGTGGTCTTGATATGTTGTCCAGGTTGGCCTAAAAATTATGTGCGACCTCCTGAGTAGCTGAGACAATAAGGATACCAACATATCAGCCCCAAGTAGGGATTTTTATTTTAAGCAGGTGAATTAGACATATCGAGTCATCTAGGAGTTACGGCTTCATAGACGAAGTTTATAACAAAAAGGCCAAGGAAGAGGGTTCTGAAATATCAATTTTTCTTTCTTTTTTTCGGTAATGGGGATCAAACTCAGGTCCTTGCACTTGCGAGGCAGGCAGCGGAACCACTAAGCTAAATCCCCAGCCCCAATTTTTTCTTTTTTGAGACAGGGTCTTGATACATAGCTCAGGCTGGCCTTGAACTCACTATGTACCCCAGGCTGGCCTCAAACTCATGGTGATCCTCCTACCTCAGCCTCCAGAGAGCTGGGGCTGCAGTTGTGCACCACCACACCTGGCTGATTTTTCTAAGTATAATAATTTCTTACATGGCTAAGAGCTAAAAGGGAAGCCCAAGAGAATGCAGGGGCAACTCCAGAATATTCTAAAAGTTGGAAATAAACAATACCACCTTAAATGAGATACGTAAATGGCATCTTAAAATGGTAATGTATCAATACTCTGGTTTCCCTTTAGATCGTATAAATCTTTCATCTTAAAATGACAATGCAAGGGCCAGGGATTTAGCTCAGTAGTTCCTTTAGCTCAGTGGTTCCTCAGTGGTTGCCTCACAAGCACAAGGTCCTGAGTTCGATCGCCGGTACCAAAAAATAAAAATAAAAAAATAAAATAAAATGACAATGCAAGGGGCCGGGGATGTAGCTAAGTGGTACAGCACTTGCCTGCCAAGTGCGAGGCTGTGAGTTCAATTCCCAGTAGCAAAAAAGAAAAAAAGTGGGGGATGGATTTAGTTCAGTGGCACCATGCCTGACTTGAAAGTGCAAGGTCTTGAGTTTGATCCTCGTTACAGGAAAAAAATTTTTTTAAAATGGTAATGCATCGAGGCCATGGGTATAGCTAAGTGACCTAGCAAACGTGAGCCCTAGGTTCAATCCAGAGCACTATTTAAAGTTAGAGGGGTGCTAACTCAAAAAAGAGACAACCTAGCCTAATTATACTAATTTCTTTAGGCAAGAGATGTTATTTTATTGGCTTTTTTTCCTTAACATACTCCAAAATACAATCTTGTCAATTTGTCTCAGTGTACACTTGGTAGTCAGCTGTTATTATAGAGCCTTCAAGTCTTCAGTAAGTCTTTAAACCTGGCAGAATAGTTAAAGTTAATAATTATATTTACAAAGCATGTGAGCCAGCAACTAAGAAAACAAATAAGTATTTACAGTATAGGACAATGTCTACCAATACTAAGGATATTCAGTATATTAACTTCTAACAATGTTAAAAAATAAATCTATTAGTTTGAAGCTTATATTATCCCAGATGCTATAAATGCTTAACTCAAAGCGCTAATATTAGATGGCAGGATATCAAAACAATCATTATAAATCCTATAGCTGAGATCAGAAAAACACACCATAGTTTTACAACTGCCAAAAAAAAAAAAAAAAAAAAGCTTGGGATGGGAAAATGGATAAACTATTAGCTGAGTTCTGGATACAACAATCAAGGAATCTACCCACTTTTTAAATAAACATAACTTCATAATAATAAAGTTTAAAATCTTCTCAAGTGAACCACATACCCACCAAAAGAAAATGGGTTACAAGAGAATGATTTGTACAAAATGGAACTCTAAAGTACAAAAATTTTCTCATGTTCATCAAGCACTGCAAAAGAGAAACTAAGAAATTGTCAGTTTTGTCTTTAATCTGGATTTGGTCACCACAGAAATAAACTCAGCTATGCAACAGGGACAGATCCCTAAGCTTCATCCTGGCCTGGGTGGTGTATCTCTTATGTTTATCTAGCTTCTTCAGTTTTAATTCCAAGATGCATAAAACTAAAGACTTTCCAGATAACACACTATCTGAAAAAACTATCAGAAGTAGAGTACTAAAGAAAAAGTCAGGGGGCCAGGGATTTAGCTCAGTGGTTTCGCTGCCTGCTGCGCATGTGGCAGGGTTCGGGTTTGGGGCCCCCTTCCAAAAAAAAAGAAAAAGTCAGGGGGAAGGGTTAACAAATACTTCTAAACTAGTCATGAGGCTTCTATTTTAGTCTTACTTTTAAGTCTTACAGATAGGAGTCAGTCCTAGATCTGCGTTTCTTAAGATAACTGAGTTTACAACTGTGTAAACTATGTCCACTATCAAACTAACTATATCCACTATATACACTATGAGCCCTTGTCTAGGGTTATACTCCCAGAGTACCTTCTCATTATCACACTCTAAAATCAATGATACATATTTATTTTTCAGCCTCTCTTTGTACTTCATATTTCTCTAAACTTAGACATGCACAATTCATTCTCTTATCCAAGAAGGAAAAGTCCATATGCAATTAATTTACAGATTCATTTTAAATAAGAAAATTGAAACTAATCTCAGGAAAAAAAAAAACTAATCTCAGGAAAAATCTGTCCAAAGAAATTCTTAATACTAAAATACATTTTTGATCATGGTTTACAGAATATTAAAAAAAAATATGAACTGCTCAATAACTGAATTTCATATACAAGCAGTCCTTTTAAAAATCAAAATACACATCCTGGGGCCGGGGATTTAGCTCAGTGGTTCCGCCACCTGCCTCACACAAGCACAAGGTCCTGAGTTCGATCCCTGGTACCAAAATACATATCTTGTATCTTTCTTCAATGTGACAGACAGCCACACTATTTCCTTCATTTGTTCTCGGCCTACTATCCCATAGCTGCCACAGCTCAGGAGCATGATCTCAAAGTTCTCAATTTAACTCTAATACAGTTAAGATTGTTTCCCAGCAGGGCTACTCTTGGAAAGGCTATAAAACTGGTTATATATTCAACAACAATACAGGTAACATTACACAAATTTTACAGATTCTCTATCAAATGAGAACCCAGCCAAGTAATCCAAAACCTCAAATCAGATTAGACAGGTAACAGAAGGAGCTTCCCACAAGTTATCACTTTAAATCAAACACCATGTCATTATTAACAAAATGCTATTCAAAGAAGGAAAGTCTGGAGGGCAATGGTTTAGCAAGACAACATACCACATCTAATGGGGCATAGTCAATATCCTCCAGAAGGATCCAGTGGCCTTTTGTAGCTGCCTGTGTCAGGGTGCCAGGCTGCCACACAAACTCTCCAGGGACATCCGTGCATCGATACATACCCAACAGCAACTGCAGAAAGAGTACAAGGTAATTAGTTCACCTGAGGTGTCCAGGCCACATTCTCTGATTAATTCTGTTAAACTTCAACACAAAAAGTATGCACTTAGGATTTATATAGCTTGCCCCAATAGTCACGAGCAAGAGCTGTAACTATTCTTCTATGCCTGTAGCAAAAACAATCTTTGAATGCCAACATTTACAAGCATGTCAACCCACCAATACTTGCCATTTGTTAATTACCTTACTGTCAGTCTGATCTCCAAGCTGGACTTTAAGAAGCTGAGGAGGTTTCCTTCTACCTGTCACTGCAGCTAAATATTCAACTAAGGAAGTTTTTCCGCATCCTATAGGTCCTTCCAACAACACAGCATTCTGAGAAGCCACTGCCATAGCCAGGGTCTGAAGATTCTTGCAGACAGACTCAATCAGTACATATGACCTAAGGGTCAGCTCTTGTTCACGTGAAAAACTATCACTAGCCTAAGGAAGCAAATGAGAAACAAAAAGCATATCCATAAGACTCCTTCCCCCAAAAGATATAAGTTCTGTAACAGTGGTACCACTGAACTTACATAAATCACAGCCAATAAATTAATAATACCAGAACTATAATAATAATAACACATATGTTATCCAAAGTTGGGATCAGGCCGGGGATTTAGCTCCGGTGCCTGCCTCACAAGCACAAGGTCCCAAGTTCAATCCCTGATACCAAAAAACAACAACAAAAAAAACAAAAACAAAAAAAACCCACAAAGTTGAGATCAGACTTATTTCTCCGCTTGTTTTGGAGGGAGGGTGGCATGTGGAAGCAAAATATTTTTTAACAAGTTTAAGAAAATGTCTCCTAAAGTTTAAGAAGGTAGAAGAGTTGACAGATTGGAACAGGGAGGACACAAATTTCATCTGTAACGGTGAAGACTTTTATTTGTTTTCTTCCTCTACTCATATTCTAGGACTTCACATCTAAGATTAGGAATGCAAAAAAGGGGCTGGGGATTTAGCTCAGTGGTGTCGCCCCTGCCTGGCAAGCGCCAGGGTCCTGAATTCAATCCCCATACCAAAAAAAAAAAAGAATGCAAAAAAAGCAGAACAGGCATGGTGGCGCATGCCTGCAATCCCAGCACTTACAAGGCTGAGGCAAGAGGATCTCTATGAGTTCAAGGCCAGCCTGGGATACAGATACTAAAATAATCATGTACAGTATATGACAGTTAATCTAGATTGTCAAACTGATTGGCATGACAGAAGTTTAGGAGATTACTAGTAAAGAACTTCTAGGTATGTCTGGATGGGTTGTGGGGGCATAATCTTGAGAACTATTTCTACTTCTCTGTCTCTTCCGCTGGGGCTGTTTTCTATAACTCTACTTCCTGGCCCCCATGAGGTGGGAAGCTTTGTTCCACCATGCCCCTGACCATGTTTCTGCCTCGGGGCCAGCTTACCATGGACTGAAAACCCAGAACTATGTGCCAAAACAAACCCTTCTTCCCTTAAGTTGTATATGTCAAGTTTTCTGTTCCAGCAACAAAAAGCTAATACAAGATGATACCTACAATTTGCTTAAAAATAGTATGGTGTGGGAAAATTGTGCAGAAATATAAAGGAAATAATTGACATGAACTGATAATTATTGAAGCTGGGTGATAAGAGACACAGAGATTCATTACACCATCCTTTCTACTTTGAAATATATTTGACATTTTCCATAACAAAAGTTAAAAATGATAATAGCACATTCAACATGCTTAATGGGTATATGAAGTTTCAGTTTTGCAAGATGAAAAGGTTCAACAGATTGGTTGCTGAAAAATATGAATGTTCTTAAGTATAATCTTAGAAATGTTAAAATGGCAAATGTTAAATGTATGTTACCACAATTTCAAAACTCTTAAAGGAAAAAAAAATTAAAGAGACAGGAGCAGTACCCCACTCCTGTAATTCCAATCCTGTAATGCTTAACGAGGTTGTGCAAGGAGGATCATAAGTTTCAGGCCACCCTGGGTAACTCAGCAAGACCCTGTTTCAAAAATTAGATGGTTGAATGGATGGATGGATGGATGGAGAATGAATGGATAGATAAGGCAGACAGACAACATAGACAGGGCTGGGAATGTAGCTCAGTGGTAGAACATCCTGGGTTAATTCCTAGTACAATACACACACAAAAGAAGTTAAATAATAAAGCACCTACTATACATGGGGGAAAGACCTTTCAGAAAAGTGGAATAATTAGTAACTTTTTATTTTTACTTTTTGGTGTTGGAGATTGAACCCAGGGCCTTGCTCTATCACTGAACAACCCCAAACCTGTTAATACTCTTAAGGAGTTAAAACTTCTCAAACATGGCTAAGCCCCTGAAGATATGTGCTGAGTGTGGTGGGGCAATCCCTGTAATTTCAGCACTCAGAAGGCTGAGGCAGGAGGACCACAGAAATACAAAGTGAGACCCTGTCTCAAAAAAAAGAAAACCTTTGTGATGACAAAATGGACAGTTCAGGAGTGGAAGCTCAAACTTCCCTCAGAGTTATCTCCCTGAGCAATTTAGCAGGCAATCTGGGACATTCTGCACTTTTGCCTTAGCGGTTCCATTATCACTGACCATCAGGCTCCTTCCAACCAGAATCTTTCTCTATGCCCCAGAGTTACTCTATGTTAGAAGAACAGTTACAGGATAGGGCAGTGGGGGAGCCAAGAGGTGAAGAGTATGAGCATGAGAGGGCTGGGTCACTGTGACTAAAAGGAAACCCAAACGGCTTTGGAGGCACTGGTTCTTTGGTGCCAGTTATACAAACACTCAATGTACTCACTACACTAAATACATATAGTATGTACTTTCATACATATATACTTTAATATTTCTTCTCTTGTTTGAATGCTATTTCCCAGAAATAAACTGATGGTTTACATGACCTGGGACTTGTTGCAAGGAGAGGAGGTGCATTTGACCATCAAGGTGACAAGTGACTAAAGACTGTTAAGGAAAAGCATAGTGGCTCCCACTGGTTCCAGATGTATGATTTGTAAGCCTATCTAAGTGAGTGGCCTTTCTTGGAAAGGTCATTTCATATGGTAGCAGGCATCTTACACCATATATACTGACCTTCCAACGATGAACGAAGAGAATTTCTGATAAAAAAAAAGAACTTGAGAATTTTCTCTAAGTCTAGCCCTGTATTTGCCACACACCAGTCTAAGGGTCTCCAGGCAAGTCAGCCTGCCTTTGTATTGCATGAATATGGGATCAGAGCATGTGCTGCTCAACTTCATACAGTTGTTATAGCAACCAAACAGAAGATTTATGAAAATATTTGCTCACTTTTTTTTTTTCTTTCCTTTTTGTGGTGCTAGAGATTGAGCCCAGGGCCTTGCACATGTACTAGGCAATTAATTCCCCAATAAGCTGTAACTCCAGCCTTTTTTATTATTTAGATGAAGCCTCAGTGTTGCTCAGACCAGCCTCAAACTCCTGGCTCAAGAAATCCCCCTGCCTCAGTCTCCTGAGTAGCTGAAATGACAGGTATGTGTTACTTTGCCTGGCTCAGGGTTTGCTGAAGCTAAAGGCATCACACAAGCACCATTACACTTTCTAATTTCTTGTTAAACAGAGATGAGAGCTGGGGATCTACATCAGTGGTGCCGCACCTGCCTTGCAAGGGCAAGGTCCTAAGTTCAATCCCCAGTATCGAAGGAAAAAAAAAAAAGTGTCAGAGATGAAGGCAATACCAGGAAGGAAGGCCCAAGGTAAATTTCTCTTAATTTCTCCTTGAACATTTCCAAAACAGCAGCAATTTAGCAAACTCAACTTGGCTCACAACTAATTCATAGTCAAACCAGGGAAAGAGCACATTTGGTGTTTAGGAGGGGAAAGGGAGCACACCCCTATTTATATCAACATACCTGCTCTCCAGAAGCCGGCTGCTGCCTGGGCAACACCACCCCACAGACAGCTGTAACCCTGGAGGAGAGATCAGCTGAAACAAGGTGTCCTTGTAAGTACTGTAACTCCTTCTCCTTGTGCCAAAGGGAAGCTTCAGGATTGGCCAAAACCAAGGCCTTCTCCAAGTTCTGTAACTGGGCCTCTTCCAATAACCTGAGGGAGAAGAGTCTCATCTATTACTGAGCAGAAAAGGCACAGCAAGAATTCCAGGAAGTTTCCGCTTACCTCAAACGGAAATGAATCAATTCATCACTACTAAAAATCTTCTTAAGAAATGATAACTTGTGTTCTTCACTCATACAGGTAATCAAAGCAAGACAATTGGCTGTGTACCTAGAGAAAAGGAAGTATGTAAATTCAACTGATGTGCAGTTGATTATTAGAAAAAAAGGAAACATTATAACACACATTTAAGAGTAGAAAATACAAATCAGGCATGAATTCACTCAATCAAACATGAAAAAAGGTGGAGCTACACTCAAATCATCTCACTTTTTTCTGAAGTGACACAGGGTTAAGGAAAAGGAGTAAGAATTTAAAAGCCACAATGACAAATACAACAAATTTAAATTTTTTTCTTTTCTCCTTTCACACACCCCTTCTACCAGCCCCACACTAGAAGCATAGGAAATGTCCAACAACTACTTACCAGCGGACCAAGGTGTCGTGGCTTCTGAGGAGAGGGACACACACACTCCAGTCCCAGAGCTCCCGGAACACAGACTGCTCTTGCTGTAGAAACTTGTAGGCAGCTTCCATTAGGTCCCGAAGTTTCATCCGCCTGCGCCCATAGCGAACTGGATTAGCATCTGAGCTCTCTAGGAAGAGTCTCTGAAAGACTGGAGAAGTGTCTCTGAAATACCTCAGGGCAAACCTTCAGAAAAAAAGAGATTATTTTCATTGGTTGAAATATCCAAGTATACATCTGTACTCAAGACAGGACTGCAAAACATAACAGAAATCCCAAGGCTTTGAGAACATAGGGAGAAAAATGCTCAGCCACCTAATCTTAAGAATGTAACCCACTCAAGTTCAGCAATCAGCCTGCATGGTGAGTTCAAGGCCAGCCAGGACTACAGAGTGAGACCCTGTCTAAAAAACCCAAAGTTCAGGAACTAGGATAACAGCATGATACCTAACTCAGAGGATATAAATAAAAATAATTGATTACCCACAAAGCAGAAGGATTTATCACAGAGTTTACTGTTGAAAGTGCATTCACTTCCAACAAACATTTATTGAATTTTCACTATGACCCAGACACTATAGCTGATTCAGAAGCAAGAAGACGCTAGGGATGTAGCTCAGTAGTACTGCACCTGACTGGCAAGCACAAGGTCCTGAGTTCAATCCCCAGTACCAGGAAAAAGAAAAGACAAGAAGATGTATGGCTCCAATATCAGGGCATCTAAATATGTGAACTAAACTTTTGACAGAACTCAAAGAACAAACAACAGTAATTATAGCAGACTTCAATAACCCACTTTCAATAAACTAGATAAAAGATGAATAAGGAAATAAAGGACCTGAATAATACTACAGCCCAATTAGACCTAATGAGACTCATAGAATACTCCACTCAACAACAGTCCCATATACATTCTTCTCAAGTGCACAAGAAACAGAGAATACACTACATAAGAGGACATAAATCTTAAGAGGTTTAAAAGACTGAAATTATATATTTTGCCTAACACAATGGAGTAAAAGTAGGAATCAACAGCAGAAAAACAAGCAAAATTATAAAGTGTCCCCCAAAGTCTATAAACACAGGTGAATGTACATAATGTACCCAAGGGCATTTCTCATCTTAAGAAAATTGTGTTCCTTGGGCTGGGGATTTAGCTCAGTGGTTTCACCGCCTGCTGCGCAAGCGCAAAGACCCGAGTTCAATCCCCGGTACCAAAAAAAAAAAAACCGCAAGAAAATTGTGTTCCAAAAAAAAGAAAAGAAAATTGTGTTCCTAAGCTCGTGGATACCCTATAGAAAAGCATCACACTGCTACTAAAAATATGTATTACGGCCCCCAAAAAAGAAAAAAGAAATCAACAGCAGAAGGAAAACTGAAAACCCCACAAATTAACGGATAGTAAACATACACAGACAACTAACAGGTCAAAGAATATATCACAAGAGAAAATAAAAAATACCTTGCAATAAATGAAAACAAAACCACAATACCAAAACTTACAGATACAACAAAAGCAATGCAAATAGAGAAGTTTATACCTACAAATATTCACTATAAAAGAAGACTTAAAAAAATAAATAAATAAAACAAAATAAAAGAAGAAAGACCTTAAGTTAGTAGCCTTTCTTTACATCTCAAGGAACTAGCAAAAAAAAAACAACCTAAACATAAAGTTAACAGAGAGGAGAAAATAATGTTTATAGTAGAGATTACTGAAAGAAGAAGAAAAGTAATGAAAGTAAGAGTTGGTTTGTTTTTTGTTTTGTTGTTGCTTTGAGATAGGGTCCCCTGATCTTGCCCAAACTTGCTTGGAACTTGTGATCCTCCTGTGTGAGATTACAGAAATGTGTCACTATGTCCAGCAAGAGCTGTTTTGGGGGGCCAGAGATTTGGCTCAGCAGCACCATGCCTGCCGTACAACCAAAAGGTCCTGAGTTCAATCCCTGGTACCCTCCCCCCCAAAAAAGAGTTGTATATTTAAAAGATCAACAAAATTGTAAACCCTTAATGAGATTAAGAAACAAAGAAAACTAAAATCAGAAATGAGCTGGGCACAGTGGCACATGCCTGTAATTCCATTACTCTGGGAGACCAAGGCAAGAGGATACAAGTTCCCACCCGGCTCATTAACTTAAGAGACCTGTCCCAAAAAATAAGAGACAGGATGTAACTCAGTGCAAAAGCACAGGTAGAGGGGGGAGGGAAAGAGGGGAAAAGGGGGGAGGAAGATAAGGAGAAGCAAGGGAAAGGGAGGAGGGGGAGGACAGGAGTGAGAAAGAAGAAAAAGAAGAGGAAGAAGAGGGTCACCTAAGCAAGGGGTATTGGTTGTGAGGGGAATTAACCCTGTGATTAGAGGGCTGGAGCTTTGAGCCTAATCCCAGATCTCTGGGAAGGGAAGAAGGGATGAAGGCTGAGTTCACCATCAATGACCAACTACTAAGTAAATAAGTCTCCATAAAAACCCAAAAAGATAGACCCATATCTATCACCATGCACTAAGCTAAGATCGAAGTGAATCAAACATCTAAATATTAAAACAGAAACACTAGGGGCCGGGGATTTAGCTCAGTGGTTTTGCCGCCTGCTACGCAAGCGCAAGGACCCAAGTTCGATCCCGGGTACCAAAAAAAAAAAAAGGGGCATCTGAAATGAACAGACATTTCTCAGACAAAGAAGTAAAAGCAGCAAATAAATACGTGAAAAAATGTTCAACATCACTGGTCATTCGAGAGATGCAGATGAAAACAAAATTGAGATTCCATCTCGCCCCAGAAAGAATGGCTGCTATCAAGAAATCAACCAATGGGGCTGGGGATTTAGCTCAGTGGTTCTGCTGCCTGACTCAAAAGCTCAAGGACCGGAGTTCAATCCCTGGTACCCAAAAAAAAAAAGAAATTAACCAATAACAAATGCTGGCAGGGCTGTGGGGAGAAAGGAACCCTTCTCCATTGTTGGTGGGAGTGCAGACTGGTACAACCACTGTGGAAATCAGTATGGAGATACCTCAAAGAACTAGGACTAGAGGTCCCATTTGACCCAGCTATTCCACTGCTGGGTATCTTCCCCAAAGAATTAAAAGAATCATACCACAGCAATGTATGTGCACCCATGTTCACAGCAGCACAGTTTCTAACAGCTAAAGCTTGGAAACAGGCCAAGTGCCCATCAACTGGAAACTAGATAAAGAAGATGTGGAGCCAGGGATTTAGCTCAGTAGTTTCACCGCCTGCTGCACAAGCACAAGGACCCAAGTTCAATCGCTGGTACAAAAAAAAAAAAAAAAAAGATGTGGGTTTTTTATAAACGGAGTACTACTCAGCCATAAAGAACAACAAACTAGAGACATTTATAGCTAAATGGATCCATATTGAGGCCATATTCTTAAGTAAAATAAATAGGACACACGTGTGTAAATACAGAATAGTTTCTCTGGTGTGAGAAACAAAGTGTAAATAAGGATTAAAATGATTAAAACGAATAATTGATAATTTGAAATAGGAAGAAAAGGTCCAAAGGGGTAGTGGAAGTGGGAGGGGAAGTGGAAAGCAAAGAAGGGAAAGGAAAAATTATTAGAAAAGGAAAAAATGGAAACAAAGTCTTTGTAAATAGGGAAGGGTGGAGGGGGGGAAGGGAGGACAGGGAATGGGAAAAAAATAAGAACCAAGATACATCATGTACAGGTTCAAGTACCCAATGATAAATGTAAATGTACTGTAAACCTAAAATGTACCGATAAAAGAATTTAAGGAAAAAAAAACAACCCAAAAAGAACCCGGGCACAGTGGTGCACACCTGTAATCCCAGCATCCAGAAGGCCTGCCATGAGTTTGACCCAAGGTCAGCCTGAACTACATAGTGAAAGCGAAGAGAAGGGAGAAAGGGGAAGGGGAGGGGAGGAGAGTTGGGAGGGGGAGTGGGTTGAGAAATTCCAGGTTGGTAAGTATGATGGTGCTGGGAAGGTGGAGTTCCAGAGAAGGCACAGAAGTTCAATGCCCCTTCCTACGCACCTCTTTCGTCTAACTATTCAGGAGTTGTGTTCTTTTTTAATAAATTTGGAAAATGTAAGTGAAATGTTTTCCTGAATTCTATGAGCCATTCTAGCAAACCACAGACATCAAAGAAGGTCTCATGGGATCCTAAGATTTTTTCAGTGGGTTGGACTGAAGCTTGTCAGTGATAACTTATATTTGAGACTCAGGTCTGAACTAGGCAAAAAGGGGTCCTCTTGTGGGAATACAGCCTTAACTTGGGGTTCTGCACTAATTCCGGGTAGATGGGGTCAGAATTGGATTTAACTGCAGGATACTCAGCTGGTATGACAGAAACAGTGAGTATGGGGAAAAACAATCTACATCTGATGCCAGAAGTGAAAACTTGTGGCCAATACTCACATACTTTAGGCCTGTAATAAATGTTGTGTGTTCTTTTCCTTGTTTAAAAAAAGAAGTGGGGCCGGGGATTTAGCTCAGTGGTTCCGGTGCCTGCCTTGCAAACGCAAGGTCCCGAGTTTGATCCCTGGTACCAAAAAAAAAATTTTTTTAATTTTAAAAATAAAAAAAATTTGAAAAGAAGTGTTGTTAGATACAGAAAGAGACACCACTTTGGGTTTCATAAGGTTCTTTGTTTCTTTTACCAAAACGCCACAGAACTTCCATTTACCACAGAGAAGATTCTCAACAGAGTTGATACATGCAGAACTCAGAAAAAGGTATTCCATAAACATTAAGGCTCAAAATAAATCTTAAATCAATGTGAAACTATCTACAAAGTTACAGCTGAAGAAATTTAGAAATAGAAGTTTTATCAAAATGAAGAATGTAAACAAACTGGATTTGATTTTTTTTTTCCAGTGATAAAGATCAAACCCAAGGCTTCCTGCATGCTAGGTAAGCACTCTACCATCGTGCTATTCCCCTAACCATGGATGACTTTTAAAAACAGAATCTTGAATGAGGACTGAGATATATAATGAATGTTGAGAAATGGGAAGAAAGTATTCAAATGGAAAGGGGAACAAGGGAAGAGGGAAAGAGAAAGGAAGGGACAAGAAAAAAAGTGAAAATAGAAGGAAAAAATGGAAACAGCTTTCGTACATAGGGAGGAGAGGGGGCTTAAGAGGGGAATGGGATAAAATAAAATAGAATTTATTCTTTAAAAAAACCAGAATTGGGCCAGGGATTTAGCTCAGTGGTTCCGGTGTCTGCCTTGCAAGCACAAGGTCCTGAGTTCCATCCCCAGTAACAAACAAACAAACAAAAAAAATTTTAAAAACCAGAATCTTGAAACTTAACAGAGAATACAGAAGACTCAGGAAATCAGCAATGTTCTCGCCATCAAAGACTAATGACAAGTTCAAAGGCTCTCGATGAAAAATTAGTAACAAACGACCATAAGAAACTTTACAAAAGAAAGGCCTGATAAGGCCATAGGGACTTCATGGAAGGCACTGGGCTTCAAACCGATGTGAACCCAGAAATGAAGACCTCAGGACTCTATAGTCCACCTGCATCTACATGGGTTCCTCCTCTCTGGTCTCCTCTATTTTTTCTACCCCAGCCCATTTCGCTTCTTTTCATTTTCTCTCCTCACTCTTTCTCCACAATCTACCAAAGAACCAAACTTCTCTACTTTCCAAGAGGCTGACACACTTATCTTTCTTCCTTTAATGATTTCCTCGGTTTCGGAGTATTTCTCTCACACCTCTACTCCGGTTGTTTTGTTGTTTTTTAAAATAGGGTCTCACTATGTAATTCAGGCTGGCCTTGAACTCACTACATAGACTAGGGTGTCCTCGAACTTAGGACAATCCTCCTGCCTCAGCCTTCTGAGTGCTGGGATTACAGGCATGTGTCATCACACTGCTTCTACTCTAATATTCACATGTATTAAATGTTTGCAAATTGGGGCTCAGTGGTAGATCCCCTTTTTAACCCCTTGCAGGGTTCTTGAATCAATCCTAGTAGCGAAAAATAAATACATAATTCTCCATAAGTCTGTTTCTACTTCCTTAATTAAAGAGAGGAAGCCTATTATATTTAACTTTCTTATCTACATGATGTGGCTCATAATTTTAAAAAAAGGCCTCATCTACTGAACAAATGGCTGCATCCTATCTGAATACATTAGGTAGAAGCTACCATTACATGTCTGTACAATGTCAATGAGGTGAGGTACCAAAGTAACCTACTTTCTTAAAACTAAACACGAAAATTCAATTATACATCATTACATACAGTTCATTTTAAGCATTCAATAATTCATCATTTATATTTATACACACAACTTTCCCCTTCTCCACTCAGATTCCTTACTTCCTAAGAGAAGGAAGGTTCTATCACATTTCTTTTTTTTTTTTTGAAGCAAGGTCTCATTATGTAGTGCAGGCTGGCCTTGAGATCACTCTGTACCCCAGACTGGCCTCGAACTCACAGTAACCCTCTTGCCTCAGCCTCCCAAGTGCTGGGATTACAGGCATGTCCCACCACACCCGGCCTGGTTCCATCACCTTAAGGAGAAGCATGAAGAATAAAACTGTTACTCACAGAAGGACATCAGGATGGCCACCAATGAGCCTGCTCATGGACACACAGAGCCGTTCATGCAGATCATGGTTGACTTGCCCTCCAGTTTTAATGGCTTCAGCATTCCTTTCCAACAAATCCAAAAGGAGAGGGCGCAGCTGGCGGCCAAGCAGCAAAGTATAGTCTTTATCCAGTAGCAATTGTGCTAAAATACTCAGGATACACTGGCGATCTTGAGGTGTCCACACCTTGAGAGGCAAAATAAAACATCTATGTAGGCAATATTAATAGCCCATGTCTATAATCTCAGCACTCAGGAGACTGGAGGATCACAAAAACAGGGTCTGGGGATATACCTTAATGGTAGACCTTGTGATTAGCATGTGAGAGGCCCTGGACTAAATCGCCAACACCAAAAATACACACATACATACATGCATATATCCCGGAAATGAAGGTCTCAGCCTCTAAGAAACAAAACATCTGAGTGCAGTGGCACATGTTTGTAACACCAGCACTAAAGGGAAGTTCAACCAGGAAGTTCAAATCCCACCTGGGCAATTTAGCAAGCCTCCATCTGAGAATAAAAATTTTAAAAAGTCCTGGCAATGTAGTTCAGTGGGAAGACCCTAGATTCAAACCTAAATAAGTAAGAGATTCAAAGTAGACATCCACACTTTGATACACAAGATGAAGAAAAGTACAAAATTATAATGCCTAAATGTACCATAAAAGAATTTAAAAAAAATGAAAAGAAAAAAAAATTTTAATGCCTAGGCTCAAAATATCCACAAGCATAGAAAGGAAAACTAAAAAGTATGTAAAAGATCTCATATGCCTAGTGTGTATATAGGTCTGCATGACTCTCTACAGGCCAAGGTAATGAAGTTCAAACTAGCAAAGTGGACATGCCCTTTGACCCAGAAAGTTCAGTGCTACAAATTCATCCTAAGCAGTTTCACACTGAACAGTTTTAACTCTGAGAGTGCACCCTAAACACAAGCTAAATACTACACATATGTGAAAATATGACAATTTTTTTTTTTCTACCAAGCATCAAACCCAGGGCCTCAGGCATGGGTGGGCAAACACTCTACCCTTGATCAATACCCCAACCTGTTCCCAAAATTATCACAAATAAAACATAAAAATTTTTTTTTAATTATCACTCAAGGGCTGGGGATTTAGCTCAGTGGTTTCGCTGCCTGCTATGCAAGCGCAAGGACCCAAGTTTGATCCCCAGTACCAAAAAAAAAAATTATCACTCAAAACAAGGTCACCTTACACCTAGGTGTAAGGTGTAAATAGTATTTTCTCACTAAAGCATGTTTCCAAACAAAGCACTAACTGGGGAAAGACGTTAACTTAAAATACTTGCTATCAATTCTACCGGTTATAAGAAGGCAATAGAAGGATTCCATAAAAAGTCACAGAAATTTAACAAATTTGGTCATGACTCATAGGGGTATAACCTTAAGTTTTCAACTGCTGAATGTCCCCATAAGCAAGCTCTAAAGGTATTTTTCAAAAAATATGATCTGTGGATATACTGTAGAGAAAAATACATATCTACAAAATTAATGAAAACAAATCCACTGTCCCAGATCCATTCCAAAAATGGATTTGTAGACAGAGAACATCTTTTTATCTTTCAGAAACATGTAATTAATTTTTTCTTCAAAAAGCAATCTGGGGGCAGGGATTTCTGCTACAAAAAAAAAAAAAAGCAATCTGGGCAGGGTGTGCTGGTACATGTAATCTCAGCATTTGGGAGGCTGAAGCAGGAGGATCTGAGTTCAAGGCCAGCCTAGGTTACATGGTAAGTCTGTGTCTAAAAACACAAAACAAAAAAGAGGAATCTGAAAAATTGTGTTAACAAAAATAGAAATTTGACCAGGCAAGGTAGGGCATGCCTATAATCCTAGTTACTAGGGAAACCGAGGATGGTAGGTTAGCTATATCAAATGAAATTTTTACTTAAGGTATTTCCAACTTAACAGTGGATTTATCAGGATTTAACCCATTATAAACTGAGGAATAACTATGTATCAAAATAGTAACACAGGGGCCGGGGATGTAGCTCATTGGTTCTGCTGCATGCCTCACAAGCACAAGGTCCTGAGTTCAATCCCCAGTACCAAAAAAACCCCATAACAACAAAAATAGTAACACAGGTACTCTGAGTAAATTTTTTTCCTTTTTCTTAGTTTCCCAGCACTGCCATAACAAAGTATCACAAACTGGATGACTTAAAGCAATAGAAAAGTATTGCATCACATATCTGGAGTCTAGGCCAGGGATGTACCTCAGTGGCACTGCGCCTGCCTCACAAGCACAAGGTCCTGAGTTCGAAAAACAAAAACAAAAACAAACAAAAAATCATACCTGGAGTCTAGAAGTGTGAAATCAAGGTACTGGAAGAACCATTTGTCCTCTGAAACATGTAAGGGAAAAATCATCCTTTCTTGCTCCTTCCTAGCTTCTAGTAGCAGCTGTCAATCCTTGGTGCTCCTGTGCTTTCAGCTGCACCACTAGGATCTCAGCATCTGTCAATCCTATATGGCCATTGTCTATGCCTTTCTTCTTCTAATAAGGTCAACCGTTAAAATGGATTAGATCTAAAATGTCCTCCACAAGTCTCACGTGTTTGGAAAGTGACTGGATCATGGCAGCACCATATTCATCAGTGGAATCACTCATTAATGAGTTCAGTACCAAATGTGCTGTTAGAAGGCACGGCCTGGTTGGGGGTGGGTCACTGGGGGTGTGACCTGGAAAAGTTTACTGCGTTCTTGCCCCTGTTCCTCCCTTCTCCCACTGCTTCCTGGCTGCAGTGGATTGAAGAGCTTTCCTCTGTCAGGTTGCTGCAAGAGAGCTGCCACAGAGAGGGCTGGCCGACCACACCCGGGAACTACGGACATGTAACCTCTCTGTTGGAGGAAGGGGGGTGTGAATTGGGGTGAGAGACAGACACAAGACTGTGTCAGCTCCTAGTTGCAGAGGTCCTCTGGTATTCCCCCTGCTGTTATCCTAACCAGGATCAGGAGCACCTAAGAGGGACCTTTGCTCTCAGTGGCTGGGACCAAAATGTAGAATGCTGTGTCCTAGTGCCAGCCACCTCACAGAGCTAAGATGAATACAAAATGAACCAAAAGAGCAAGGGCCTTTTCTGGCACTGCCTTTTTGTTTTATTATTTATTTGTATGTATGTATGTATTTGCAGCAGTTCAGGATTGATCCCAAGGCTTCCACATGGAGCGACATCCCAAGCCTTCCCTCCCTCTCTTCCAACAGAGTCTCACTAAGTCACTAAATTGTCCAGGCTGGGCTTGAACTTATGGATGGCATGAAATTTGCACTGTCTGTCCTCCTGGGAAGGCCAAAACTGGGGTCCCAGGAGGCTCAGGCAGTACTAGTTGGTTAAAGACAGGGATGGAGAAGGGAGGCACAGGAGACTTGGAGGGGCTGTGTCCATATGGCAGAATGATGATGGAGTGTGATCGAGCCCTCCTGTGAACTCTGGATGGGGAGGTAAAGATGAGCCTGTTTAGTCTGTTTTCATGCATGGATTTCTGACACCCACACTGGGTCCTCCTGCTCCCTCGTGGTGTCAAGGAACCAGTGACAAGACAGAGCGCCAATTGAACAACAAAGAAAATTCTGTTCTTGGCCAAAAAATGGAAGAAGTGGGAGGGAGTTAGCATTTACAAACACATGGGCTTTTGGGCCCAGGAGGGAAGGTGGGAAGAAGGGAGGGAGAAAGGGAGGAAAGGAGGGAGGGAATTGCTGGGAGGTGACTGAGGTAGGAGAAAAGGAAGTAGGAGGGAACTTAATGAGGGGAGAAATATTCATGTCATTTCTGGGAATGGGGCAGAAGTTTTCTGGGAATCTGGGCAGAGCCTCTCTTGTTCCGGTTCTTTCCAGTCATTATCAATGCCAACTGTCATGGAGGCCAAGGGGCAGCGTGTGGTGGCCAGCAGATAGGGGATTCTGAGGGGGCGAGGGGTCATCTGATGGTCACAATGGTGCCCATCTTTGATCCAACAGGTTTCATCAGCCCTCCCCAACAGGAAATTCTGGCTCACCAGCCTCCCACCCTCAGAGAGGAACAATATTAGCGCAGAGTCGAAATACAGTTAGGTCCAGAAGGCAGGAAGATATTTAGGTGGGTAGGGTGACAGTGATTCATGGACCACTCTGGTTGCGTGCGTGCGCGTGTGCGCGTGTGTGTGTGTCATCTGTCAGTGTAGCCAGGGACCTGGGAGGACTCTGTATCTTCTGCTCAAAGTTCCTATGAACCTAAAGCTGTTCAAGAAAATAAATATACTTCCAAAGAAAAGAGGAATAATAATAATCACGTGTGGTGGCACATGGCTGTAATCCCAGCATCCCAGAGGCCTAGGCAAGAGGATCACCATGAGTTCAAGGCCAGCCTGGGCTACAAACCGAGACCCTGTCTCCAAAAAAACAAAAACAGGGCCAGAGATTTAACTCAGCAGCACCGTGCCTGTCTCACAAGCACAAGGTCCTGAGTTTGATCCCTGGTACCAAAAAAACAAACAAATAAATAAAATGGCATAGTGACCCATAACTTTATTCCCAGCTACTCAGGAGGCTAAGGCAAGAGGATCTAAATTCAAGGCTAGCTTAGTGAGCCTAAGTCTCAAAAAAAGGTCTGGAGATCTAGCTCAGTGGTGGAGCAGCCCTGACTTCAAGCCTCTGTACCCCCCACACAGAAAATATATGGGCCTGGGTTACAACTCTGTGGTAGAGCACTTGCCTACCATGGATGATCCCCACCACCAGAAAAAAAAAAAAATTTGGAGGGAGGGGGAGGTTTTTGAGACAGGGTCTTGCTATGTAGTTCAGACTGGCCTCGAACTCGCAGCAAACCTCCCAGCCTCAACCTCCCAAGTGCTGAGATTACAGGCATGTGCCACCATGCCCAGCTGAAAAAATTATTACAGTTCACATTCACCTGACTTATTACATGTCAGGCACTGCAGACTCACATGGATTTTCTAGTTATGGCAACATTCTTATTTATAGCAATAACAACAACCATTTTCAACCATTTTTATAGATACACTTACTATATTCCAGGCATTTAATCACAACAATCCATATATTAGATATGAATCCATTTTACCAATAAGGAAACTGAAGGAATACAAATGTTAAGGTGACAAAGCTAGTATACAGCAAAGCTTGGAATTCATGTCATAGAGAATGCTCCACAGTCCTTAAAAAAATTTTTTTTATAGTATTGAGGGTGGAGCCTAGGCAAATGCTCTACCAATGAGCTGCATCCTCCGCCCAGAGTTCCTGCTCTTAACTACTCCCTGTAACTATGCTGTAGCTACTTTATGTCACACACACACACACATTTTTTTTTTGGTACCAGGGATCCAATTCACAACCTTGCACTTACCAAGTAGGCCCGGTACCACTGAGCTAAATCCACCCTCACCTGATTTTATTGGGTTTTTTGTTTTTGGTACTGGGGATCGAACTCAGGACCTCACACTTTCCAGGCAGGCACTGTGTGGCTGAGCTAAATCCTCAGCCCCATGTAACATATATTTAATCAAGAAACTGAGACTTAGCAGAGTTAAGAAATTTAACGGAGGGCACAAAAGCAATTAAGTAAAAAAAAAAAATGAGCCAGGCACGGTGGCACATGTCCCAGCACTCTGGGAGGCTGAGGCAGGAAGATCTCAAGTTCAGGCCCAGTCTGGGCAACTTAATAACTTACAGAGACCCTGTCTCAAAACTTAAAAAAATAATAATAATAAAGGTATAGGGATGTGGCCTTGCATAATGTCCCTGGGTTCAATGGCGGGGGCAGTGATAGTATGGATGACAATGATAGTAGAGATGAGAGGAATGAATAGATTCAGTAATTTGGAAGTAATAGCAGGAACTCTTAATTGCAAAGAAAAGGAATGAAAAGGGGAAAAGTTGGTGGGGTAGTTCAACAGTAAGCACAGGCTTCGAGTGCGTGAGGCCTTGAGTTCAATCTCCACCACCCATAAAACAAACAGCTGAAGAAAGCCAGCTGTCGGAAAGATGACTAGACATAGAGTCACTAGCTAGGATAAAGACAATAGAAAGAAGCACACTCTTAAGCCACGAGTGGTGCCACATGCCTATGATCCCAGCACTCCGGAGGCTGAGCCAGGAGAGTTGCCACGACTTTGAGGACAGCCTGGGCCATATAGTGAGTTCAAGGCCAGCCTGAACTACAGAGCAAGATCCTGTCTCAAAAAAAAAAAAGAAAAGAAAAAAACCGGATGAGCTGGGGATTTAGCTCAGTGGCACTGTGCCTGCCTGGCAAAGGCAAGGTCCTGTGTTTGATTCCTGATACAAAAAACAAACAAAAACACACACTGGCCCGGGGATTTAGCTCAGTGGTGCCACTGCCTGCCTCAAAATCGGAAGGTCCCAATTTCCATCCCCGGTACCAAAACACGCACGCACGCACGCACGCACGCACACACGGACGCACGCGCAGCCTTAAAAACTCTTTCTTAGGGCCAGGGATTTAGCTCAGTGGTTTCGCCGCCTGCTGCGCAAGCGCAAGGACCCGAGTTCGATCCCCAGTACCAAAAAAAAATTCTTTCCTAGCCAGGTATGGTGGCACATGCCTGTATCACTTGAGAGGCTGAAGCAGGAGCACTGCCGCAAGTTCAAGGACAAACTGGGCTACATAGTGAGGTCAAGGCCAGCCTGAAATACATACCAAGACCCTGTCTCCAAAATAATCACTCAATCATTTTCCTTATCCCAAATATGAACAAGAATCAGTATTTCAAGTCTTTGCCAGTAAAAACATTTGTTTACAAAAACAGAATTAAATAAGAATGGAAATACAATCAACTCTTCTCTGAGCAAAAGGGTTGTATGGTAATTATTACCTTGTCAGGTGTGAATGCCTGTAATCCCAGCTAATCAGGAAGGTGAGGCAGGAAGATCACAATTTCAAACCCAGCCTGGGCAATTTAGCCAGACCCTGACCTGACTGGGGGGGGGGGGGAACAAGCATGGTGCATGGTGCCGCACACCTGTAATTCCAGCACCCAGGAGGCTGAGGCAGGAGGATTGTAAATTCAAGGCCAGTCTGGGATATATGTTTGAGACCCCGTCTCAAAAACAAAAAAAAAGGGCCAGGGATTTAGCTCAGTGGTTCTGCTGCCTGCCTCGCAGGCGCAAGGACTCCGAGTTTGATCCCCAGTACCAAAATTAAAAATCAAAAAAAAAAGTAAAGGCCTGGGGCTTCAGGGGGCTGTAGCTCAGTAGTAGAGTGCCCCTGGTTTGACCTAGTACCACAAAAACAAACAAAAAACCGAATCTAATACAGGTTACACTTTTCCTACCCCATTCCAATACATAAGCAACAATTTTTTTCCTTGAGCACTAGGCATTTGAACCCAGGGCTTCTTCCACAACAAACACGTTCCCTGCCAATGAGGAACACCCTCAGACCCATAAACACCAATTTTGTGTTCAATTACTAAGGTGGGAGTTCTAAGTCCTCTAAAGCTAGTCCATAAACCACTACACTCCGAGCCCAGGATTTAAATTCTCACTTATAGAAAGATACTGCTTGCAAAAATAGGTAACTCAGAAGCCTTTTAAAAGCTCAGCTCATCTGAATTTACTATCTCCCTCCTTAGCCCAACTCACCAAAAAAACTTTGCCATTTACGTTACTGAGTCCCTTCATTGCAACTTCACTGATAGGGGGCCAGACATTCTGAAGACATATCCAACTCCCTTTGGCTATTCATCTTCAATTCGTTATCTCCATACTGGAATGTCTCTTGGCTTGGGGTTTAGGCCAGTGATGGAGTGTGGTTACCATACCTAGAAGCCATGGGTTTGATCCCCAGCACCACCACTCCCTCCAAAGGAAAAGCGAAATGGCTCCCATGTGAGCTCCCAACTATCCCAAATTGGTCAAGTGCCTCGTTTCTCATACCAAACATTGGTCCTTTCCTCAGTATGTTTTGGGTTGTTTTTTTTTTTTTTTTCGGTACCATAGATCGAACTCGTGACCTTGCGATTTCGAGGCTTGGCGACTGAACCACTGAGCTAAATCCCCGGCCCTACTGCTCCTTTCCTAAGCAATGGAATATATACGTGAGTACAGCATGTGTGACTAAATAAGTTCTACAAAAATTAAAACACATTTTCTAATCTTAAAAAGCTTAAAGACTTCAGGAGTGTGGAAGCATAAAACAGAAAATTAAAATGCAACGTGAACAGATGCCTAGCGAGGGTTCTCAGTTCAGGCAGAGGTAATCAATGAGAAAAAGAAAATCCCCAGGCAAAGACTCATTTCCCAGGAAACTAGTTCACCTCACAATTCCTGCAGTTTGTTTGTTGGCACTGATTGTCTAGCTTCGTCCTTCAAATGCTTTGTGTGTTTATGAACTGTGTTCAAAATGAGACACAAAACTTCCTTTGGGGCAGAAACCTACACAGACGTATCCATCTGCTCCGTACCACACTGTGACTTACGCACAGCAAGAACGCAATCAATACTCATGATTGGCCAGCGGAAAAGACAGGACAAAAATAAAAAACAGAACCCACTCAAGATGACAAGGGTGGTTACACTATACACCCGTAAGTAACACGCATATTAAGAGGGCAGGCACACCTCAAGTTTCAGAAAACCCGGCCACAATTCTTTTGGCAGGGAACGCCTACCGCCACAGCCTGACCTCCGCATCTGGGGGCGAGGGGGAGGAAGGCTCCCCCAGAGATTCCGAAACGCTCACCACCCACCCATGCGCGGACGCCTCCGCCACCCACCGCCCGGGAAGGGGGCTGAGTAAGAAGACGCCGCTTCCCTCTCTCCTAGCACAGCACAGGTCTCCAGGGGCGGTAGGGGAGTGCGAGGAGCCGGCTCGCAGTTCTTCCTTTCACTCCCGTACCTGCTTGGCCAAGAACCTGCCCAGATCGCTGCGGCTCTTCTCGTTCTTAGCAGCGATTAACCGCAGCGGCGCGGCGGCCACTTCCAACGAGAGGTGTTCCATGGCCCCGGAGCCTGCGTCCCCTGCGGCCACCGGCGCTCGCTGCTCGCGCTCGGAGACCCGGGCTGCACCGAAGAAGCCCCCAGGCAAAGTGGCCGCCGAACGCCGGGGAGCGGCAGCACACGTGGGGTGATTTCTGGGCGCTGAGCGTCACCACCGAGCGACTGCAAAAGCAGGCACTGCCTGCTCCGCCCCCGAGGCGGTGGAAAGGCTGGGGGAGGGGAACGGAAGCCGGAAGGGCGTGTGGCGGTTCATTCCTGCGTGATGGATTCCCTCAGACCCTGCGTGACAAGAGACAGGAGACTTCCGGACAACGCGTGAAAGGACAGACAGATTTCTACCGGCAGGGGCATGGAGTGAGGCCGATGGACTTGTGACTTCACCATGCTCCTTCCCTTTGCCTCGGCACGGGAAGGGATCAGATGTAGAAGAACAAATTTAGCTTTCTAGGACTTAGCCTTCGAAAATTCTCTTGTCTTGGGCCGGGGATTTAGTTCAGTGGTTCCGGCGCCTGCCTCGCAAGCGCAAGGTCCCGAGTTCGATCCCTGGTACCAAAAAAAAAAAGAAAATTCTCTTGTCTCACAAGGTCTTCCAGACACCGTCCAGCAAGGCACATCCCGGTGTGACAAACAGCTCGTGAAGCGTACTTAATATAAGTATTGAAACAGTTGTTCCATAAATACAGTATATATACTAAAGAATACTCTTAACCTGGAATGTGGTGGCACCAGCCTGTAATCCCACCATTGGGAAGGCTAAGGCAGGAGGAGGCTCCTGAGTTTGAGGCCAGCTTGGGCTACATAGCAAGGCCCTGTTGCAAAAGACACAACCAACAACAAAATTCTGAAGCCAGTAAGACGAATAGAGTACATTAAAAATATATTTTTTTTAAGAGTAGGAAAAATTTATTGAGAGAAAGAAAGCTGTCTAAGAGAGACAGAAGGGAGTTAATATTTTTAAAAATAACAATGTGTTAATATGAAAGCCATGAATAAGCCAAACTAATCAACGATGATGAAATTAAATTAATGGTTGTTGGGCTGGGGATTTAGCTCAGTGGTTCTGTCGCTTGCCTTGCAAACGCAAGGACCCGAGTTCGATCCCTGGTACCAAAAACAAAAAAATTAATGGTTGTGCTGGGAGAGTATTGACTCCAGAGGTTTCTGAGGAAGCTTCCTAAAAAGAAGGAAATGTTTTTTTATTAGCACTGAGCTGCATCATTTTTTTTTTAGTTCTTTATATATTCTAGACATTAGTCCTTTATCTGAATAGCTGGTAAATTTTTATTTTTTATTTTTCATTTTGGGGCAGAGTCTCACTTTGCTAAATCGCCCAGACTGGGTTTGAACTTGGAATCCTCACAGAGTGCTGAAATTAGATGAATTCACCACCATGATGAGTTCAATGGAGAAAATTTAATCTGCAAAGTTTGTGCTATTATTTACTTATTTTTCCTGATTACATCCTCCTGTCCAGCCTTTGTACACAGCTGTTGTTGTTTCAGCAAACAATAGTATTTCAGCCTGACATTAAAACCAACCTCTGAGGGCCTGGGATTTAGCTCAGTGGTTTCACACCCTGCTGTGCAGTCACCAGGACCAGAGTTTGATCCCCGATAACAAAACAAAACCCAACCTCTGAAATTTACTCTAGGAGATTTATAAATTTTTCCTAGAGTATCTCCATGTTAATAAACATGTTTATTATTCCATACCTAAAATGTACCAATAAACTTAATGGAAAAAAAATAAACGTTTGTTTTCCTCTCATTCTGTCTTTTGTAACAAGAGTCCATCTTGATAAAGAGCTTAGAAAAGGTGCAGGGAAAGTTATTTTTTCCTACCCTAGGGTTCTGAATGTAAAGGGCTGAGATAAAGTTGCTTTTCTTCACCATTAATTAGCTTATGTGACTTAGGTTAAGTCACTGAAGGGGAACAGAATATGCCACCATCAGCTTTATTAATCTTTAGATAGTTAACTCTATGTTACTATTTTTTAATTCTTTTTGTTTCTTTTGTTTTTTGAGACAGGGTGTCACTATGCAGTTCCACCTGGCCTTGAACTTACTCTGTAGCTCAGATTGGCCCAGAACTTGCTGAGACCCTCCTACCTTTTCCTCCTGAGTGCTGGGATTACAGGCATGTGTTGAATTCTTTTCTACTGTTAATGGTGTAATTGTTTCACTAAGTAGATAATTACTGTATGTCAATATTTGGTTTGTCTTTGTATCTATTATAATTATAGATCCCTTTTCTATGGTTAAGGGTGGTACAGGGGTAGCTTTGAGAGAGGAGGATTGAGATAGGGTCATCCATTGTAGTTTATGTTTGCGGTAAAGAAAGATAAGGGCTGGGCCGGGGATTTAGCTCAGTGGTTTCGCTGCCTGCT